GTTCAGGTGCTATTGCTGTAACCAAACCCCAGCATTTTCTCTGACCCTGACTTACTCATTCCGCCAAGGAGACTCAAATTTCACAATCAGTCTACATGGTGTAGTATGAATTAAGTGTTTCTGTTTGATTTGCATAGGTTATGTTGCTTTATTAGATCATTGGAAGGGTTAGCCAAAGACTTGGTTGTGGGTAGTGCAGAGGAAGTGATCCAGACGGTATCTGACGAAATGAAGGAAATCTGGGAAAGGGAGGGAAAGATGAAGAAAACCAGGGGTCAGGCTGCTGCTTCTTTCAGACTGAGCCCCTCATGTGGCAATAATCATGCAAACAAGCATATACCAGTTCCCGCTTTTGGAATATATCCTTGAAAAAGATGTTTTGGCATTTCAGGCAATGCGACTTGCTTGTAACTTAAATGGCCATGTGTCACATGAGAAACATTGTCTTGTGGATCCACGCTCAAGCAGGTTTTTCCCTTCAGTGGGAATTATTTGTGTATTCAAGTGCTTCTGCCTGGTATTCTACAATGTAGGCATTGACTTGGTAGACAGAATGTGAAAACATGGTTTATTTTAACAGTAGATACTCTATGATGCCAGGTTTGGGGCTAGACAAGCAATCAAATCCTGGTTTGTCTTCATAAGGGCTAGCTTTATTGCCTTAGCCTGGGAGCATGTGAAAATGCCACCAGCAAATAATCCAGGACTAAACTGAGGTGTGTACATTTGTAGACTTCACAAAACTATAGATGAGACTCACTATGTTTAATAATAGGGGCTGTTGTGGCTCAGAGGTTAAGATGCTGAGCTGCAGACTGGAAGGTCTGTAGTTCAGCAGTTTGAGACCCTGGTGCTGCCTGACAGAGTGAGCTCCCATTTCTGGCCCCAACTCCTGCCAACCTAGCAGTTTGAAAGCAAGAAACTGCAAGTAGATAAATAGGTGCTGCTTCAGTGGGAAGGTAACAGCGTTCTGGGGCCCTCACAATTAAGTCATCCCGGCACCATGACCACAGAAACATCTTTGGACAGCGCTGGCTCTTCGGCTTGGAAACAGAGATGAGCACCACCCCCTAGACTAGCTTTCGAGCAAGGGAAACCTTTACCTTGACCTTTTATGTTTAATAAACCAATTTCAAACCATGATTTCAGATCCTGGTTTTAACGTTCCCTAATTAACCATACCTAGAGGAATGATCTCTGTTCAGCCAATTGCACTAACCATAAACTAAGCCACAATGTTGTGTTCTGTATGAACTTATCCATACTCTGTAATAATTCAGCTGCAAGACAGTTCCAACAGTTCCAGGCAGCAGAATCTATGGGGCCTGACTGAAGCCCATTTAGCCATATCATTCATTCCTTTCTCAGCTCTTCCAAGCAAGTGCTCTACAATATTGTGCTCTATTTCTCTTGTCTCACTAGGATATCAACTACAAGGAAGATTGGAAGCTAGTCACCATTTTAATTGGACGCAATGATCTGTGTCAATATTGCTTAGACAGGGTATGTACCATCCCCCTGGAAGTACAGTTGGCTTAGTATGCAAGTGGTAAGATTCAGCTTCACTTTTTATTTGATCATTTGGAAATGAATGTTCTTCCAATATAGTCCAATGACACTTCTGTTGCTATGGTGATCTTAAGACTATTTCAATGTCAAGTTGCCAACCAGCCAGGAGCGACAAACCTAGTCATGAAGGGCTACCTCCTGTACAGTTTTTTTTGTTCTATTTTTTTTTCTTTCACATTGCATTTATTTTGAACATGTGTGTGTTGCACCTATATCTGTATTGGGTTAGGAGAGACCATTTACTTGTTCATGTGCATAGCATGCCAAGAAACTCAAATGGCCATCTGACAAACCATACTAGGTCATTGTACCCTGGGCCTGCTCATAGTAAGCAGAACTAGATTGGCTGCCTTGCTTACTCATTGCTCATGATCAGCATGGTGTGGTAAGAAATTTTAGAAATATGGAAGGTTTGGGTTTGAAAATGAACCAAATAGTTTATAAAATCCATGTATCTGTCTCTGTCTTTGCTGGCAAAACAGCAGACAGGCTTGGCCTGCTTCACTGAACCAAACCCCATGATTCTTTGCAAACCCTTTGTTCCAGGCAAAACACCCCTCTCTGTCATATAGGCAAAGGCTCACACATTCCATTCTCAGGACTTGAATGAAATTAAATTACCATAGGTGTGAGACTCAATATCCTAGGCAATAAAATGTATCTAACAGGAAAGGCCATTTGGGCAGCGATAGACTTCAATCCGTAAAGCAAACTGACTCCTGAGATACAGGGATTCAAACCCACACTTCCATCTCAGAGATAACATCAAAGACCCCATTGCCATTTCAGAGATGACATCAAAGAATGGTCTATCTTCAGTGTTGGGAATACCAGGAAAAACAATGACGTAGACATCCTCAAAGGACTGTCATTTAGAATTTAGGTGTTTTGGTCCTGTAAATAAAATGTAATTTTTGGAATGTGAGAAACAATCTCCTGTCTGTAATCTCAACATCAAACGTCGATTTACAAATGTAATTTAATTATTGGGGGACCCTTTGATCATTTTGTATAAATGCTGCTCAATTTCAACAGACCTTCGCTAGCTCTTGAAGGAATCAGGAGAGGCATTACTCTCCAGAGACTTTAGGAGTTCAGCCCGGAAGGCCTTTCGTTTTCTGCATGCTTTCGGGGGGGCGGGGGGGACACTTTGCTTGCATGTTTTATTTTCACTATCAGCATTTAGGAAATAGGATTGTATTGTGTTGGCAGCTGGCATAGCGTCTTGCTAGTCACTCGCCTGGTAAACCTTGGCTGTTTCTTAACAAAGATAAGCTTTATTTTAAGAAGTGACCTTTGCTTGAGCGCCTCTGCCAGCGCTTAGTGGTTTCCAACCTTGCACCTTTGCCTGTGGTAAGGAGACAACACTCAGGGGACACATGAATCAAAGGAGAGTGTGGGGGTGACATGGGTGACACACAGCCACATTTCTCACCACACATGGTTGTCAGCAAAGATGGAGGAGAAAGACAGGTAGGTAACAAAGGCAGTGAGGAGGAGGAGGAGGAGAAGTCTTTGGCCTGGGGAGGCTCTCTCTACTTCCTCAAGTCTGTCGCTGTCGCCAGCTCAGGTATTCACTGATAAGAAGGAGAATTTTGAATCTTGTTTTACACTGTGAGCTTGATATCAGTTCTTGCGCCCAGATCCAGTATCAGAGTACAGAGAGGATTTAATCCTCTTGACGTAAATGAGTACAAGTAAAATATTGCTGATTTAACTGATTCAAATATCAGACTGTGTATATCTGTTTTCAAAATACAGTTGTGTGAGTAAGAGAATCTAATAGCCACATGCAAGGTAATACATATGCTGCAACTGGAAAATAATTTAGCAATACCTTCTTCCAAAAATATCACCCCGAGTAGAAGGCATGTCCTCATGTGGAACCTTTGAGTCAGAGGCTATGCAATGGGCCCCTCTGGTTTCTTTGGTGGGGTGGGTGGCTGTCATTTACAGCTTTTCATGTGCTGCTGGAAATAGATAACCTGGTGTTCCTTTTCTGCAGGAGACTTATTCAGTGGAAAAATATGTACAACACCTCCAAGACTCCCTTGATATCCTTTACGCAGAGGTAAGACTTTAAGACACTCTAGAAGGCTGAGTCCTTAGCAGCCATGCTTACATATTTCTCACCCCTGACAGAGTTTCCACGGTCATGTTTCATTCAAGCCCTTCTTTCAGATAGCTGACACTGGCACAGTCGCATATGAAGGGTAATCAAATGACTTTGATAACTTGCAACCAGGAAAATTGTGAGAATTTAATGCAGAGTTATCTTCATCTCAGATAACTTGGAGAGCAATCCTAAGCAGGCTAACTCAGAATCCTGCTCTGGTCTACTCAGTGCGGCTTTCTCCAAAGGAAGAGCTTGTAGGATTCTACTGCTGGTACCCTCAAGACCTCTGTGTGGTTGAAAGCTTCTTCCTCTAGCAGCAGATGGCAGTTGGATGGCTTCTAACAGCAGGTGGCTGGTTCTGCACACTGTCCATCCTCTTCTATGCTTTAATTGTGCCTTCGTGTGGATATCTGTACAGCAGTTAAGAGAGTAGATGTACTGGCTGTGGCAACACAGTGGAAAGCAAAAAGGGGGTTAGGACCTGTGGCTTGGGACAGGAGATCTGGTACTTGAACCCCTGTACAAGATAATATCTGGATACCCTGAGAACATTTGTCTCAGATACCGCTTCTTTCACGCTCATTCCAAAATGTCCTGTTAATCTGAGTCCTTGTTTTTGCCTTGAGTTTCTTGCGGTGAGATTAAATGTGTCTTAACAAAAATCAGTCATATATAATCTTACTAAGGATCAGTTTTGACATAATGGTGTGCATTCATGAGATCCATGGGAACACTTTTAGTTGTGTCAGAACTGGGGGCAAATATGTGAGCAGGACACTTTGGGAATGTAAGCTCTCAATCATAATGTTATACCTAGGGGGAAAGTATGTGGGTAACCAGTTCCTCTGCAATCTCTTCTCATGTAAATGGTCATTATAGGAATGCATGAAAAGTGATATGTTCAGTGTCAAATGTAAGGCTTTGGTGTTCCTTGCTCACTAAGCCTTCGCCGTCTTACCTCACACACTGTAAGACTTCCTCCCATCAACAGGATCATTAATAATTCTGCAATATTGGTTAGCAGTTTAATTGACACATTTATACTATGCAGGGCTTAATTTGAATCAGAGCTCAGTCCCTGGAACACGTTACCTAATAATTATTACTTGATCCATAGATTCTGGCACAAAACAATGGGTTGCTTGTGAGAAACACCAGTGCCAAACAGATGGCTGGAGTTGTCGGCTCTGATAGTGTGCTGATCTTCATTTATGCCCTTTCATCCATTTTCAGTCTTTAAAGCAGAGATCCCAAATCTTATTGAGCCTGTGGACACTTTCAGAACTTTGAAAACAGGGATGGCCATGGATCCTGAGGATTGCAAAATCTTGGGAAGTTCCAAGCTAAGCATCCTCCTATTATGGAGGCAGATTTTTTGAATTGGTGCTCTCTGCAAACACAAAATTTTTGCCTTCTGGGATGTTCTGAAGCACCTCCTACTCCATTGAGGTGGACAGAAATCAGGACTGGCTCTTCAGTTTTGGGGATGAAGGAAGTGGGTCACCACACTGGGGATCCCTGCACTCAACTATAAATGTTAAGACTTGTATGCATCAAAACAAGGAGCAGGCTAAACTGAAATTACAGTCTCAGATCCTACCAGTCATGCAATCCAACCTGAAATCTCCCTACATGCCATAAAGCCAGAGGGTGAATAGAGATGGCTACGTAACAATAACCAGTATGTCAGACTTTGTTGAACAGGATGCCTCACATTAAGGACCTTCTAAGGGAAGGAGGTAATAAAAAACAAACTAGTGGAACTGAGGCTATATTTGAAAAATATAGGGAATCAACTCAGGTCATTTTCAATTCAAATTAGATTTTTAAAAAATCAGATTATTCAGGCGCAGTCAATGGATTCATCTAGAGGACAAAAGGTTTGAAATTATGCCTTCTGAGAAAAACATCCCTCGTGCTGGATTCTTGGCATGTCATGCACACATACCCATAAACAATCCTCAAACTGTTTTTCTTCAAAGTAGTATAGCATTTCTAAGCAATGATTTCAAGTGCCATGTTGCTTGGGGGGGCAGGACAGTAGCTATTAAAATATGTGTATAGACTAGGTTCCCTTGGGAGAAATGTCTGTTGCTTATCTTAAGAGAGGAAGCCCTCCTTCTGGGTTTCTGGGTGCTGGGAGGGGATTTTCTCTGAGTAACACCCACATGCCTTAGTGCCAGCAGTCCCCATTGCCACTGGCAAAGGTGAAGATGGTTGGATGGTTCCCCCCCCCCTTTCTCAGGTAAAGTGCTTCCACCTATTCTCTCAGGCAATAGCTCAATAAGGACGAAGATCAGATGATGTTGCCTTAAAGTAAGGCAAACCATTAGTATATCAAGTTCATTATTGTATGCTTTGGCTGGCTGTGGCTCTCCAGGGCCTCAGCTGGAGATCTTCCACATCATTGTGATCCCTTAACTGTAAGTGGTAGGGATTGAACCTAGAACTTTCTGCAAGCAAAGCATATGTTCTAACACTGAGCATCTTTTCTTTCAATGGCAATGCTAGTTTTTCACATGTCTCAAGTGGCTTTCTAGCATTGTAACACTGGGGGAAATCAGCTGAACTGGTTATGAAACTGCAGCAAAGGAAGTTTGGACTGTAAAATTCTGAAAGTGATAATTGTCTGGACTCTGGATAATAATTTAAACCCCGTATCATAATTAGAACTCAAAACCTAATTATATGGATGCACCCTGTTCTGTTTTTGGCTGTTGGGCCATGAACATCTATGGCAAAAAAAATATCCTGGTCAAGATTTAATTCTAGAAGTTTGTGACAAAGCTCAGAGTATTTCTTTGTTCTCTATTAATAATTACTAAACAAGACAATTAAATTTAGTTTAAATTCTAGATGTATACAGCTAGGCATTCTAGAGGCCTCCTGTTCCCTGCCTGCAGTTTTGGCTGTAATGTACTATTTTATATTATACTAGGGTTGCCAAATCTCTCTTACCTCCTCGGCGGGGGATCGCTGGCCATCTCCCGCGCCGCATCTACGTCACCCGGATGTGACGTCACACGCCGGGGCGGGGCCACAGCCATTTGAGGGGAAAACATAGAGGAAAACATGTTTTCCTCTCAAATGGCTGTGGCCCCGCCCCAGCGTGTGACGTCACATCCGGGTGACGTGCACACTGGGGTGGGGTTTCCCCCGGGCCCCGATTCCACGGGGGCGGAAATCGGGGCTCGAAAGCGGGGGAAATCTGCTCCCCGGGGGCATTTGGCAGCCCTATATTATACCAACAAAGTACATTGGTCAATTGTCACTAGCCTTTCCATATTTCCTTGCCAATTGCATGAAGACTGTGATTTGTGCATCCATATATCTTGTTCTTATAATCCCTACAGCTCCCTCGGGCCTTTGTCAACGTGGTAGAGATAATGGAGCTCACTGGGCTGCGTCAGATAGAATGGGAAGCATCCGGATGTGTTCTTTCAGGGATGTAAGTGAACAGATCATATGTTGGTCTCTACTGAATGCTATTTTTAGGGCTAATCGATATCCTTGTTACTCATAAAGCAGCTGCTATGGACTTTAAAACCTGTCCCCTGTTGGATATTATTGAACTTTGGAGCTGTGAGGCAGCCGATGCTCTAATTATAATGAGGATATTGGGTTCAGTTTTTCTTTTACTCATATAGGAGCAGCCGGCATTGATTTCCATTGGAGTTGCAACCAATTAAGTGAGATTAGTTTTGGGTCCCCTGTTTTCTGTCCAGATGTTAGTAACAGAGTAAAGTCTCATCCACAATGACTGAACACGGCTGGATTTTTGCATGTTAGCCAGTATGAGGAGCATGTGGAGTCCTGACTGCAGTATCTCCTCTATGTAAAATTTGATTGCAGAAAGCACATCATGAGCTCATCCACCAATTTCTCCATCGCCCCCTTCCCACTGTATCCTTTTGTGCCCCTGGAAAAGGGCTCCTGAAGGGTAGTGGACCACAAGGCACAGAGTGGGGTGAGGAAATGGGAGTCTGTAGCAGGAGGCGGGGAATTACCAAATTCAAGTCTCACCTGTCCTGAAAACAGAAGAAATGCAATTGCACGGATAGAACAGCATCTTAGGATAAAATGCCTTAGGCCTTATTAGGCCTAAACAAATGCTTCTGATTAGTTCATTATTACACCATAGTAAATTTAAAAATCTGAAATCCCTGTGTATTCCAGGTTTACACAGGTTGCACAAACATGGGAACTGATTTTGGGACATAGATCATGCTCTAGTAATTCTTTTCTTATTAATTTCTTGTTAACTGAACTGTGCCATCTATCTTGGACTGCTGTTGATTTGGGCATTGCTGTCTTTCAGAAGCCTATGTCCATGCTTTCTAAACCCTCAGGCAAATCCCTTCGAACTGCAAGAAATGCAAAGAGTGAACAGAGACTTCCAGGTAAAGCAAGGACCTATTGGTTTAGACCTTTGCATCCCCGATGGGAATTCTGTGTGTCACCATAGTGAAAGTATTTGAGGTTTGAATTCAGGTTTCAGTAGAGACTGGTAGTATGACCTCATCTGAACACATAAAGCCATCTTACCCTGTGTTAAATCATTGGTCTATTAAGATCAATGTTGTCTACTTTGACTAGCATCAGCTTTCCAGGATCTCAGATAGAGGTCTTCCACATAACCTACTACGTGATCCTTTTTCTAACTAGAGGTTTTCATTAGTTTTTTAAATAGAGCCCAAAAGAGGACAGACACCAAAAAAGAGGATATGTCCTCTTAAAAGAGAACACCTGGTAACCCTACCAGTGTGGCCTCTCTTGACCCTTTCTGCCTTATAAAAATAGTGAAGACAGATCTCTTCTGGAAGGCATTTGCCCTTGATTGTGACTGCAGCTGGGCACAACCACTACTGAGCAGAACTGGAATTGTTTTATTACAGAACTAGGAAAAAGGCCCATTGTGGAAATAAATACAACGGCCTCTAGAAAGAGGCTCTGGGCGGGTGTCCCGGCCTTGGACACTCAGTGTCAATTTGCTGTGGCAACCTCAGCAGGGTATAATGACACGGAGTCCACCATTTTCTCCAGAGGAACTGATCTCTGCTACCTAAAGAACAGTTGTAATTTTGAGTGATCTCCAGCCCTCACCTGGAGATTGGCAATGATGGTTCCCCAAAAGGGAATGGTTGGTTTGGAGGGTGGAGTCTATGGCTTTGTACCTGTCCAAGGTCCCACGCCTCCTGAAACCTCACCCTCTCCAGGCTCCATCCCTCACTTCTCCAGGAATTTCCCACCTGGAGTTGGCAACCCTATCTCCTGCCCAGCCAATCATCAACCTACCTTTATTTCCCCCTCACTCTTCAGCTTTCCACCCCCACACACACACCTGCAGCCTCTCCCATGTTCTGAAGCCCTGACTGCTACGTCACATTGGCTGTCATACGGGGGCCACCTCAGCAGCATATAAGGATACAGAGCCCACCATTTTCTCCAGGGGAACTGATCTCTGCCATCTGGAAAGCAGTTGTAATTCTGAGTGATCTCCAGCCCTCACCTGGAGATTGGACACATTTTACCTCAGAACAGCAAACTGTTTAGAATGTTAGAGGCAAAAGCCAATCAAGTCGCATATGCAAACGACCTCTGTGTTCCGAGGCAAAGGCCAATGAGGCTACATATGCAAATAACCTCTGTGTTCTGACTGGCTAGGGGGGGGGGGAGAGGAACAGCAAACTGTTTAGAATGTTGGAGGCAAGACTCAAGCAATGCAGCCAGTGGATAGGGACAGATTCTGAGTGACACACCAGGGCGCCAACCAATTCCAGAGCGTGTGCAATGTTCTAGAGAAGTGCCACCACCATTCGGCTTTTATATATAAGGGAGATAGCGTTCCCAACCTCCAAGGGGGAATGGTGTTCTCCTGGAGTTACAACCGATCTCTAGAATACAGAGCTCAGTTCCCTTGGAGGAAACGGCAGCATCAGAGGGCAGAGTCCATGGCATCGCAATCCCAATGGAGCATCACCCCCAAATCTCCAGAAATTTCCCGTACTAGAGCTGGCAGGCATGTCTGTGGACATTTTCCTCCTGTTCTTATGTGATATACTCTTTGGATCTTAGAAAACACGGGACTGCTGCCAAACAGTAGACCATTTCCACCCATTAGATCTAGTCTTGCAATCCGGTGCAAGAGAGAATAGATCTGCTCCATCTTACATTATTACAGTTTTTTAAAATTAGTCTTACTAACTGATAGTGCTGTGATTTTGTATTTTTATACACGTTCAGTGGTTTCATGGTTAACTACTTCAAATGCCTTGCAGAGAAGCAGTGTAGAAATCTGAGATGTGATGATGGTGACAGTGAGGGAGCTAGATTTATAAGCTTCCTGTATGATCTGCAAGGACCTAATAAAATACCATCTCCTTTCCTGCTTGATCCTATGTAAGTAATTCTCCCATTACAGAAACTGAGACAACACAACTCCCACACTGATGCCTGTTAAAGTGGTTGCGTTATTCTTGGCCTGCTCTCCTTCTCCTCACTCTATGGCCATCTTGTCACTACCTTCCTTTAGTCTGATTGCTTTGAATTAACAGTTATACACTGGAGAGAAAAATGGAGAAAGGCCCCTGTGTTGTCACATCCAAGGGCTGTTTCTCACTCGAAGAGATAGACAGACATTTTCATGGTGTACCTCCCATTCTCAAACAGGAGAGAAGCACAATGATGATCAATGGTGGTCGCTATGACAAGCGGGAAGATTTTGCCATTGTTGTGCAGCCATTTCTCCGAAATACCAACATGCCACTGGACAGAGTAAGTCATCATTTGCTACCTGCAGTATTCAAAGCTTTGTGTCAGGATGTTGTAGTAGTTGGTAAGATATACAGGATAAGGATTACATCATCATCATGATATTGTGCATTGACTTGCATGGAAGGGATTCTGCAAAATACCTCTCTGTCTCTAGACAGAATAGTCCGTTCCCAAATGTCTGTCTCTTTGTCACACCCAAGCATGACTAACACAAAAAAATGAATGTTATGTCTTTTTAAATGATGGAATGGAGCGCTGCAGATACAAAGCCGACCAGGTGTCAGTGGTTCGCATTTTGTTCTACAGGACAAATTAAGTGGATTGCACTTGGCAACCATACTGGGGGAGGGGCAAATTATATTCTCCGATGCTCAGCTGCAGTCCAGAAGGTCTGTAGTTTGGCAGTTTGAGACTCTAGTGCTGCGTGATGGAATTAGCTCCCGTCTCTGGCCCCAGCTCCTGCCAGCCTAGCAGTTCGAAAACAAGACATTGCAAGTAGATAAATAGGTACCGCTTCAGTGGAAAAGTAACCGTGTTCTGCGTGCCTTGGCCTTTAGTCGTGCCAGCCACATGACTGCAGAAATGTCTTCGGACAGCACTGGCTCTTCGGCTTGGAAACGGAGATGAGCACTGCCCTCTTTACCTTTACTGCTCAGGAAACAAGGGTACCTTGCAGTCAGACTCCCTTCACCTGCCCCCATCAGGGAACACCCTCCCCAGCCCCAATTTCCTATGGCCCCAAAGGAAATGGGGGGGCATGGTGGCTGTCACTAACCCTGGATCTTTCCAGCAACAGTTACAGTTTATGGTTTTATTTTGTTCATTCCAGATCAAGGTGGTTTGGGCTATGGCAGCCTAGGCAGCAGACACACTTAATAAAAAGCAGTTCACGAACAGCTCAGTGTCTTGTTCCCAAGAGCAGGTCCAGAGACTTGTTTGGGCTGACCTGATGTGGCTTGACTTGGACAGAACAATGTGCATATAAAGAAAATCTGAAACATATGCTAAAAATTCAGGGCACATTTTGGATATTCAGTTCATCATAAAATGCAACATCTGTGTCTTAAGATAAATGTCAGCGTGAACCTTTGAATTGTTAGATTCATGCTTGCTGTTTAACTCCACAGACTAGGGAGGGCCAACTGGCAACTCAGACTAGATTTCACCACCTCCCTTTCCATAATCAGATTATGAATGCAAACTGCATGGCTGAGTCTTGCTTGGAAACTGCCTCTCTCTCTTCCGGGAAGGGGCACTGTACTTCACAGTCACCATCCAGCACAGGGAGAGATGGGGAAGGGGTGTGTGTGTGAAAGTTGTATGCTGTTTCTTCCAGCATGAACATTTGAATTGTTAGATTCACGCTTGCTGTTTAACTCCACAGACTAGGGGGGGCCAACTGGCAACTCAGACTAGTTTTCACCACCTCCCTTTCCATAATCAGATTATGAATGCAAACTGCATGGCTGAGTCTTGCTTGGAAACTGCTTCTCTCTCTTCCGGGAAGGGGCACTGTACTTCACAGTCACCATCCAGCACAGGGAGAGATGGGGAAGGGGTGTGTGTGTGAAAGTTGTATGCTGTTTCTTCTTTGCCCATTCAAACCAAGAGAATGAAAAGTTGCCTTCCATAGGAGACTCTGTCTCAAATTGCTGAATGCAGCACATGACTCTCTCTGGTGTCTGGTACTCTTGTCAGCCAAGACAGGCCAATCCACAAGAGAGAGACCAAGGGTACCCCAATGATGAGTAAACAAGAAAAACACATGATGAAGCATTACACATGCCCTGTATCTCCTTTAAATGAGTTATTGCTGTATGTGCAATTAAGGCTGTGCATTTGGATATATCCTGTCTGAATATATATCTAAAAAATACCTTATTGGCATTTTCTTGATGTAGTCAGGTCTCCAGATGGTATCCAGGATTTTATGGGATACTGGGAAATGGGTTCCCAAAAATTGTGGAAATATTTGGGAATTACTGGGGCTATCAGGAGCCAGCATTTTAAGGCTCCCAGGACTGTTTTTTTCTTCTTCTTTGTTTTTACCATGTGTCTGTGTCTTCCCAAAGCTTGGTAATCAGCTTGCCATTTTGGTTAGGCTTTGATTCTGTCCTTTGAAATTGGTTTTGTTGATCTTGCAACATTGTGTTTTTTTGCTCAAGTGGTTCAAGTTGGTTTGCCATTGCCTTGGTTTCTTGGGTTGT